CAACAGCAGGAGCAACAGCAAGAGCAACACCAGGAGCAACAGCAGGTGCAACAGCAGGAACAACAACAGGAGCAACAGCAGGTGCAACAGCAGGAACAACAACAGGAGCTACAGCAGGTGCAACAGCAAGATTAACACCAGGAGCAACAGCAGGAGCAACAGCAAGAGGAACACCAGGAGCAACAGCAGGAGCAACAGCAGGAACAACAACAGGAGCTACAGCAGGTGCAACAGCAAGATTAACACCAGGAGCAACAGCAGGAGCAACAGCAAGAGGAACACCAGGAGCAACAGCAGGAGCAACAGCAGGAACAACAACAGGAGCAACAGCAGGAGCAGCAGCAGGAGCAACAGCAAGAGCAACACCAGGAGCAACAGCAAGAGCAACACCAGGAGCAACAGCAGGAGCAACAGCAAGAGCAACACCAGGAGCAACAGCAGGTGCAACAGCAGGAACAACAACAGGAGCAACAGCAGGTGCAACAGCAGGAACAACAACAGGAGCTACAGCAGGTGCAACAGCAAGATTAACACCAGGAGCAACAGCAGGAGCAACAGCAAGAGGAACACCAGGAGCAACAGCAGGAGCAACAGCAGGAACAACAACAGGAGCAACAGCAGGTGCAACAGCAAGATTAACACCAGGAGCATCAGCAGGAGCAACAGCAGGAACAGTAGCAACAGAAGAGGCAATAACACACGAACATTAGAATTAATAAAATTACAAAAGGCGTACTGACCCGTACGAGGCAGCTCCACCCCAAACTCATTCATATATATATATATATATATATATATATATATATATATATATATATATATATATATATATATATATATATATATATATATATATATATATATACTAAAATTACAATTAAGGATTACACAAATTAGGATTAAGGACCTGCCCGAAACTCAGGTCTTTTAATGACTGATATTGCATATGATTGGCAATGTTTGTGTTCTCGGTAATTAACTCTAAGTATTCTAGCCAACCATTCATGTCCAGCTCCCCATCATTGAAGAATGCCTCATATGATTGGAATTCCTTCCTTGCTCCAAAGTAATTCGATAGTTGTCTTAAATCTGTGTGTTAGTGCCTCGCTCCTACCTCGCTCACTTATTTCCCCAACACTGATACAAATTAAAATTACAAAATACTAATTAAAATTGTTCTCATTTCCAGCCGTAATATCACTCATATTATTACAAACATCCTCTATTCCCTCTCCCAGATAGCAACCAGTTTTCCCTATTTCTGGCACACCAATTCTGTCTGCTACATGATACGTCAATTACAGGTACAGTATGTGTGGTTACAGTCGGACACTGACCCGATACAGAGCTTGGGTTTGGGTCGTGACTGGTGTAGAGGGCACTGGAGATCAGAAATGCGTCAGTGGCAAAATCGACACCAAATTTGATTGAGAATAATTATACTTTAAACTTTGAACAATCTCTTTAGCATGGAACATCGCCAGACATATTTGTGTAGTGTCGTAAAGGCGCAGAGAAACGAAAGCAAGTCGTGCAGGTATTGGGAAAGAGATACTCATCCACCAAGTCGTGCAGGTATTGGGAAAGAGATACTCATCCACCAGATCGTGCAGGTCTAGGGAAAGAGATACTCATCCACCAAGTCGTGCAGGTCTAGGGAAAGAGATACTCATCCACCAGTTCGTGCAGATCTTGGGAAAAAGATACTCATCCACCAGATCGTGCAGGTCTTGGGAACGAGATACTCATCCACCAGGTCGTGCAGGTATTGGGAAAGAGATACTCATCCACCAGATCGTGCAGGTCTAGGGAAAGAGATACTCATCCACAAGATTGTGCAGGTCCTGGGAAAGAGATACTCATCCACCAGTTCGTGCAGATCTTGGGAAAAAGATACTCATCCACCAGATCGTGCAGGTCTTGGGAACGAGATACTCATCCACCAGGTCGTGCAGGTATTGGGAAAGAGATACTCATCCACCTGATCGTGCAGGTCTTGGGAAAGAGATACTCATCCACCAGATCGTGCAGGTCTTGGGAAAGAGATACTCATCCATCAGATCGTGCAGATCTTGGGAGAGAGATACTCATCCACCAGGTCGTGCAAGTCTTGGGAAAGAGATATTCATCCACCTGATCGTGCAGGTCTTGGGAAAGAGATACTCATCCACCAGATTGTGCAGGTCTTGGGAAAGAGATACTCATCCACCAGATTGTGCAGGTATTGGGAAAGAGATACTCATCCACCAGATCGTGCAGGTGTTGGGAAAGAGATACTCATCCACCTGATCGTGCAGGTCTTGGGAAAGAGATACTCATCCACCAGGTCGTGCAGGTCTTGGGAACGAGATACTCATCCACCAGGTCTTGGGAAAGAGATACTCATCCACCTGATCGTACAGGTCTTGGGAAAGAGATACTCATCCACCTGATCGTACAGGTCTTAGGAAAGAGATACTCATCCACCTGATCGTACAGGTCTTAGGAAAGAGATACTCATCCACCAGGTCGTGCAGGTCTTGGGAAAGAGATACTCATCCACCAGAACGTGCAGGTCTTGGGAAAGAGATACTCATCCACCAGGTCGTGCAGGTCTTGGGAAAGAGATACTCATCCACCAGGTCGTGCAGGTCTTGGGAAAGAGATACTCATCCACCAGAACGTGCAGGTCTTGGGAAAGAGATACTCATCCACCAGAACGTGCAGGTCTTGGGAAAGAGATACTCATCCACCAGAACGTGCAGGTCTTGGGAAAGAGATACTCATCCACCAGAACGTGCAGGTCTTGGGAAAGAGATACTCATCCACCTGGCACCAATTTACGAGTGTGAAACCCAAGTGTGAACGAGGAGGATGGCCACGAAGACGGCCCCTTTAATACTGACGTCTTGAAGAATGGATTGAGAAGTTGAGATGAAAGAGGGAAGGAGGAGACAAAAGAACGGAGGAGTGGAGGACACGAAGAAACAAGGGGAAGGGTTATTAACGAGACGAAGGAACGGGGAAATGAGAGAGATATTGATTGGTAATGCGTGTGAGGAGGACAAGTAGTATCATGAAGATGAGAAAGCCTCACTTTATACTGACAACTCTGGCATTATCCTTATTCTTCCCCATGCGTATCTTAACCGCCTACATCTTCTTGAATATCTTATTTACGTTTCTTATGCCCTCTCTACTTATGCGTCTTCTAATTCTCCTTATTCTTCTCCGACTATTCCATCATATTCTTCTCGTTTCATACCACCATTAAACCTTTCATTCAAAAGCACAATAGGAGAAGCCGGATGTGTTTTCGCAATGAATAATTTGCTTCGAGATTACCGAGTGCTTTGTGGCGTGATGAATGGTGCCCCGTCCTGCCTTGCTGCCCTCTCTCTCTCTCTCTCTCTCTCTCTCTCTCTCTCTCTGCCCTCTCTCACCTGTCCCCCACTCTCTGCCCTCTCTCACCTGCCCCCCTCTCTCTGCCCTCTCTCTCTGCCCTCTCTCTCTGCCCTCTCTCTCTGCCCTCTCTCACTTGCCCTCTCTCACCTGCCCTCTCTCTCTGCCCTCTCTCACTGCCCTCTCTCTCTGCCCTCTGTCACATGCCCTCTCTCTCTGCCCTCTCTCTCTGCCCTCTCTCTCTGCCCTCTCTCTCTGCCCTCTCTCTCTGCCCTCTCTCACCTGCCCTCTCTCACCTGCCCTCTCTCTCTGCCCTCTCTCTCTCTGCCCTCTCTCTCTGCCCTCTCTCTCTCTGCCCTCTCTCTCTGCCCTCTCTCTTTGCTCTCTTTCTCTGCTCTCTCTCACCTGCCCTTTCTCTCTGCCCTCTCTCTCTGCCCTCTATCATATGCCCGCTCTCTCTGCCCTCTCTTTCTGCCCTCTCTCTCTGGCCTCTCTCTCTGCCCTCTCTTTCTGCCCTCTCTGGCCTCTCTCTCTGCCCTCTCTCACCTGCCCTCTTTCACCTACCCTCTCTCACCTGCCCTCTCTCATCTACCCTCTCTCACATGCCTCTTCTTCTCACTTCCTCGTCATTGTCATGAATGGTTAGTATGGGAGGGGGGGGGGGAGGGGCGGAGATGCACAGGTAATGTCTGGTAAATGAGAGGAACTCTTTTAGCCCAGTTGTTTCTCTGTTGTTATTCCCCCCCCCCCCTTTCTCTCTCTCTCTCTCTCCCACCTAAATTGCATCCCAAATCCTTATCCTGACCCCTTCCAAGTGCTATATAGTCGTGATGGCTTGGCACTTTCCCCTGATGAATCCCTTCCCTTCTCTCTCTCCTCACCCTGACCCCCACCTGCCTTCTCCCCTTTCCCGTGACCCTTCACCTCCAGTGTCTGTCATTAGTGTAGCCTTCCTCAACAACCACCCCCTTCTCCTCCTCCTCCTCCTCCTGCTCTTCCTCCTCATGCTCCTCCTCCACCTCCTTCTCCTCCTCCTCCTCCTCCTTCTGTTCCATATCTTCGTCAATTCCCATTTTTTTTTAACACACCTTCTCAAAGCCCCGCCCCTTTCCCGGAGTGAAATCACTCTGACACATATCAAAACTTGGCAGGAAAAAACGCCTAATATTTTGTTACTGAGACACAAGTCACTCTTGGGACACAAGTCACTCTTGGGACACAAGTCACTCTTGGGACACAAGTCACTCTTGGGACTCAAGTCACTCTTGGGACACAAGTCACTCTTGGGACACAAGTCACTCTTGGGACACAAGTCACTCTTGGGACACAAGTCACTCTTGGGACACAAGTCACTCTTGGGACACAAGTCACTCTTAGGACACAAGTCACTCTTGGGACACAAGTCACTCTTGGGACACAAGTCACTCTTGGGACACAAGTCACTCTTGGGACACAAGTCACTCTTGGGACACAAGTCACTCTTGGGACACAAGTCACTCTTGGGACACAAGTCACTCTTGGGACACAAGTCACTCTTGGGACACAAGTCACTCTTGGGACACAAGTCACTCTTGGGACACAAGTCATTCTTGGGACACAAGTCAATCTTGGGACACAAGTCACTCTTGGGACACAAGTCACTCCTGAGACACTAGTTACTCCTGAGACACAAGTCACTCTTGAGACACAAGTCACTCCAGAGACACAAGTCACTCCAGAGACACAAGTCACTCTTGAGACACAAGTCACTCCAGAGACACAAGTCACTCCAGAGACACAAGTCACTCTTGAGACACAAGTCACTCCAGAGACACAAGTCACTCCAGAGACACAAGTCACTCCAGAGACACAAGTCACTCCTGAGACACAAGTTATTCCTGAGACACAAGTCACTCCTGAGACACAAGTCACTCTTGGGACACAAGTCATTCTTGGGACACAAGTCAATCTTGGGACACAAGTCACTCTTGGGACACAAGTCACTCCTGAGACACTAGTTACTCCTGAGACACAAGTCACTCTTGAGACACAAGTCACTCCTGAGACACTAGTTACTCCTGAGACACAAGTCACTCTTGGGACACAAATCACTCCAGAGACACAAGTCACTCCTGAGACACAAGTCACTCCTGAGACACAAGTCACTCCTGAGACACAAGTCACTCCTGAGACACAAGTTATTCCTGAGACACAAGTCACTCCTGAGAGACAAGTTACTCTCGAGACACAAGTCACTCCTGAGACACAAGTCACTCCTGAGACACAAGTCACTCCTGAGAGACAAGTTACTCCCGAGACACAAGTCACTCCTGAGACACAAGTCACTCCTGAGACACAAGTCACTCCTGAGACACAAGTCACTCCTGAGACACAAGTTATTCCTGAGACACAAGTCACTCCTGAGACACAAGTCACTCCAGAGACACAAGTCACTCCTGAGACACAAGTCACTCCTGAGACACAAGTCACTCCAGAGACACAAGTCACTCTTGGGACACAAGTCACTCCAGAGACACAAGTCACTCCTGAGACACAAGTCACTCCTGAGACACAAGTCACTCCTGAGACACAAGTCACTCCTGAGACACAAGTCACTCCTGAGACACAAGTCACTCCTGAGACACAAGTCACTCCTGAGACACAAGTCACTCCAGAGACACAAGTCACTCCTGAGACACAAGTCACTCCTGAGACACAAGTCACTCCTGAGAGACAAGTTACTCCCGAGACACAAGTCACTCCTGAGAGACAAGTTACTCCCGAGACACAAGTCACTCCTGAGACACAAGTTATTCCTGAGACACAAGTCACTCCTGAGAGACAAGTTACTCCCGAGACACAAGTCACTCCTGAGACACATGTCACTCTTGAGACACAAGTCACTCCTGAGACACAAGTCACTCCTGAGACACAAGTCACCCCTGAGACACAAGTTACTCCTGTGACAAAAGTCACTCCTGAGACACAAGTTACTCCTGTGACACAAGTCACTCCTGAGACACAAGTTATTCCTGAGACACAAGTCACTCCTGAGACACAAGTCACTCCTGAGACACAAGTCACTCCTGAGACACAAGTCACTCCTGAGACACTAGTCACTCCAGAGACATAAGTCACTCCTGAGACACAAGTCACTCCTGAGACACAAGTCACTCCTGAGACACAAGTCACTCCTGAGACACAAGTCACTCCTGAGACATAAGTCACTCCTGAGACACAAGTCACTCCTGAGACACTAGTCACTCCAGAGACATAAGTCACTCCTGAGACACAAGTCACTCCTGAGACACTAGTCACTCCAGAGACATAAGTCACTCCTGAGACACAAGTCACTCCTGAGACACTAGTCACTCCAGAGACATAAGTCACTCCTGAGACACAAGTCACTCCTGAGACACAAGTTACTCCTGAGACACAAGCTATTCCTGAGACATAAGTCACTCCTGAGACACAAGTCACTCCTTAGACACAAGTCACTCCTGAGATACAAGTCACTCCTGAGACACAAGTCACTCCTGAGACACAAGTCACTCCTGAGACACAAGTTACTCCTGAGACACAAGTTACTCCTGAGACACAAGCTATTCCTGAGACATAAGTCACTCCTGAGACACAAGTCTCACAGCTGTAGGCATTAGGAGGTAACGGCCAGAAACCTGCCCTGATGAGGTGGTGGGACGTGGTGAGAGAGAGAGAGAGAGAGAGAGGGGGAGAGAGAGAGAAGAGAGAGAGAGAGAGAGAGAGAGAGAGAGAGAGAGAGAGAGAGAGAGGGAGAGGGAGAGAGAGAGAGAGAGAGAGAGAGAGAGAGAGAAGAGAGAGAGAGAGAGAGAGAGAGAGAGAGAGAGAGAGAGAGAGAGAGAGAGAGAGAGAGAGAGAGAGAGAGAGAGAGAGAGAGAGAGAGAGAGAGAGAGAGAGAGAGAGAGAGAGAGAGAGAGAGAGAGAGAGAGAGAGAGAGAGAGAGAGAGAGAGGAGAGAGAGAGGAGAGAGAGAGAGAGAGAGAGAGAGAGAGAGAGAGAGAGAGAGAGAGAGAGAGAGAGAGAGAGAGAGAGAGAGAGAGAGAGAGAGAGAGAGAGAGAGAGAGAGAGAGAGAGAGAGAGAGCGGGTACTCTTGTACTGCCACAGGTTCGTGTACCCTAGTCACTGCCTATTCTATACAGGTCAAAAGCATTATTTACCGTCCACTGTCACCATAAAGATACGTGAAGTGTTCTCTAAGAGCCCCAACACTGAGGGAGAGAGAGAGAGACCTTTACCATTACTAATATTATTTATTCACAAGAGTTTGACATAATCTTGCATTGCACTCTGCCTGTGTTGCAGAGGAAAGGTTTCTAATGTTGCAGAGGAATAGTTGGAAATGTTGGTCTTGAAGCATCCCTCCCTCCCCCATCCCCCAAAGCTTTCGTACCTAGTAATTTTTTTTAACAGTCTTGATGTTCGAGCGCTTTGTTGTATATGACCTAATGTTGAGAATGCCGGTGGTTTCTTCGACTTCATCTTCTTCCTTGAGTGTATTCCACTTGTTGAGCAGCCATACAGGCTGGGACTGTTTTCCTAAATCTCGTCCACCCATTTGAGCCTCCAGCCTTTACAGATGTCTTCTTGCTCTAATGCCTCTCAGTTTAAAGTGGCTCCATATGTCCACCTTGACTATTTTCCTAGGTATATTTTTATGCCTAATAATATCCCCTCTCCTTCTCTTATAAATGGTAAATGGTTTGTAAATGGAGTTATCTCAACTAGGCCTTCTAGCTTAGTCATATTAACATACGTACTAGTCTTGTGGCTAACCTCTATACTTTCAAAGTAATTTATGAGGTGTGCCCTCCATACTAATGTTGCGTACTCTAGTGCTGCAGAATAGATTGTCTTGAAAAAGTCCTATTAACAATTTTATATGCCGTTCTAATGATTGACAGCTTGGCATACGTGTGTGTGGTGATGCTTCCCTCTCTATACATGCCTTAGGTCTTAATGCTAGAAATAAATTCCACTTCCAAGTTAATGCCCAACCACATGAGCCAGATGGTAGAGCGACTGTCTCGTCTAAAGCAGGTCAGCGTTCAATCCCCGACTGTCCAATTGGTCGGGCATTATTCCTTCCCCGTTGTCCCATCCCAAATCCTTATCCTGACAGCTGTGTGGACAGCTCGGATTCGTAGTCCTGAGGTTTTGGGTTCGATGGCCGATAGTGGCGGAAACAAATGGGTAGAGTTTCTTTCACCCTGGTGCCCATGTTACCTAGCAATAAATAGGTATCTGGGAGTTAGACAGATGCTTCGGGCCGCTTCCTGGGGGAAGGGGGGTGTAAGAAACAGGAGGCCTGGTCGAGGACCGGGCCTCGGAGACGCTAAGCCCCGAAATCATCTCAAAATAATCTCAAGAATCCTGATCCAAATTCTTATCCAAGTGCTATATAGTCGTAATGGCTTGGCGCTGATCTGATTAACAGGAGGAGTGTTGGAGACCACACATTCCTCCAGCTCCTATTCTTCTTAATAATAACACTTTGTTTTCAGCCCTTTTGGTACTCCTTTACACAGTTCAGGGTCTCTCCAGTTAGCACAACTTGCTTCTCCATCCTGTACAGTGAACAGTCTTTCATGACGGACACAAATGTTTTATGACAATCAAATGTTTTATGACATTCTTGAAAGGCATTCTAAACATCCTTTATTTTCGTGTCTTATGATAGTGGTGGTAGAGGTGGTAATGGTGATAGTGGTTGAGATTGCGGTGGCGATGGTAAGTAATTCTCAAAAGAAGGCGCCATGGTGGCGGTGATAGTAGTGGTAGTAATAGTGGTGGAGGTGGCAGAGGGAGTGTGGTCACAGTGGTGCTGGTGAAAGAGGTAATGGTGGTAGTGGTGGTAGAGGTGCTGGAGGTAGTGGTGGTGATGGAGGTAGTGGTGGTGGTGGAGGTGGTGGTAAAAAAGGTGCTGGTAGTAGAGGTGGAGGTAGTGGTAGATGTGTGTACAGTACAAGCAGAGGGTATCCAAACCAACCAGGTCGTTAGCGTAAATCACATTCCAGAGACGTCTTCCTCGCTTTGTCTTAATTACTAGGTGTTCTACCCCTCAAGGTGCTCACGGGGCTCTACTGACCAAGGTACACACTGAGCTCTACTGCTCAAGGTGCACACGGGGCTCTACTGCTCAAGGCACACACGGAGCTCTACTGCTCAAGGTGCACACGGGGCTCTACTGCTCAAGGCACACACGGAGCGCTACTGCTCAAGGTGCACACGGGGCTCTACTGCTCAAGGTACACACGGAGCTCTACTGTTCAAGGTGCATACAGAGCTCTACTGCTTATTGTGCACACGGGGCTCTACTGCTCAAGTGCACACGGAGCTCTACTGCTCAAGGTGCACACGGGGCTCTACTGCTCAAGGTACACATGGGGATCTACTGCTCAAGATGCACAAAGAGCTCTACTGCTCAAGGTGCACATGGGGCTCTATAGCTCAAGTGCACATGGAGCTCTACTGCTCAAGGTGCACATGAGGGTCTACTGCTCAAGGGGCACACAGGGCTCTACTGCTCAAGGTAAACACGGGGCTCAACTGCTCAAGGTACACACGAAGCTCTACTGTTCAAGGTGCACACGAGGGCTCTACTGCTCAATGTGCACACAGGGCTCTATTGCTTCAGGTTCACACAGGAGCTCTACTGCTCAAGGTACACACAGAGACTCTTTTGCTTAAGATGCACACAGGGCTCTACAGGTCAAGGTGAACACGGGGACTCTACTGCTCAAGGTACACTCGGGGCTCTACTGCTCCAGGTAAACTCTGAGCTCTACTGCTCAAAGCTCACACACGGGGCTCTACTACTCAAGTTTCACACGGGGCTCTAGTGCTCAAGGTGCCCACGGGGGCTCTACTGCTCAAGGTACACACGGACCTCTACTGCTCAAGGTAAACAGGGGATCTATTACCCAAAGTACACAAGAGGCTCTGCTGCTCAAAGTACACACAAGGTTCTACTACTCAAAGTGCACACGGGGCTCAATTGTTAAAGGTGCTCACAAGGCTCTACTGCTCACGATGCACACAGTAGTTCTATTGCTCATAGTGTACACAGGGGCTCTATTGCTCAAGGTACACACAGGGCTCTACTGCTCAAGGTACACACAGGGGCTCTACTGCTCAAGGTACACACGGGGTTCTACTGCTTAAGGTACACACGGGGCTTTACTGCTCAAGGTACACATTGGGGGCTCTGCTGATCAAAGAGCACACGGGGCTCTACTGCTCAAAGTGCACAATGGGATTCTACTGTTCATTGTACACACGGGGCTCTACTGCTCAAGGTATACACACGGGGCTCTACTGCTCATGGTGCATGCGGGGCTCTACTGCTCATGGTGCATGCGGGGCTCTACTGACCAATGTACACACGGAGCTAACTGTTCATGGTACGCACGGGGCTCTACTGCTCAGCGTATACACAGGACTCTACTGCTCAAGGTACACACGGGGATCTACTGCTCAAGGAGCACACGGGGGCTTTACTGCTCAAGGTGCAAACGGAGGCTCAACTTCTCAAGATGCAAACGGGGGCTCTACTGCTCAAAGTACACACAGGGACTCTACTGCTCAAAATAAACACGGGGACTCTACTGCTCAAGGTGCCCACGGAGACTCTACTGCTCAAGGTAAACACGGGAGTCTTCTGCCCAAGACGCACACGGACTCTACTGCTCAAGGTACAAACGGGGCTCAAGTGCTCAAGGTACACACGGGGGCCCCTACTGCACAAGGTGCACATTGGGCTCTACTGCTTAAGGAGCTCTTAAGAGCTCTACTGCTCAAGGTGCACACGGGGCTCTACTGCTCATGGTACACACGGGGCTCTAATGCTCAAGGTGCACACGGAGACTCTACTGCTCAAGGTGCACACGGGGTCTCTACTGCTCAAGGTGCACACGAGGGCTCTACTACTCAACGTACACCAATCTGGTGTATATGATGAACCAGGCTGTGACTCATACGTCATCCTGCGAGCAGCCGCGTCTAACAGCCTGGTTGATCAGTCCAGCAACCAGGAGGCCTGGTCGGCGACCGGGCCGCGGGGACACTAAGCCCCGGAAGCACCTCAAGGTAAGGTAC